AAAAAAAAAATACACAAATCCCTAATTAAATTTATTTGCTGAAGCAAAATCCAGATGAATAAGAATTTCATATTGAGTCATATTTTTCCTGCCTTTTAGTTAGTTAATAGGATAACATATCCTATTTTTTCACGAGGTTGAATGGCTTGATAATTCATCAAGATCATATGATTTATTTTAAATCGAAAATTAGCAGCAGGTCCCGCTGATTAGTTTGAATATAAATTTAATTATGGAGGCAGAGATAGAGTTTTTAAACAATTCTTAGATAATCAATAACAGAAAAAACCAATTAACATATAAATCTAAACAGATAATGTAATATACTATTCTGCGCGACAAGTGGATATGGATAAGTATGTACAGAACTATTTTTTTCTAATCGCAGAAGAAAATCATAATAATAATAGGGGTGTACATAGATCGGGTATGTTTACCCTGGAATCCGGATAACAATTGAATTTATATGGGGTTTTAAGGATCCGTGAACTAAAAGATACAAAAGGTTTGGATTGAGGAAAATAAAAGATAAAGACTCAACAATTGCTGTTAAAGTAAATAATCGCAGAATATAATATTGCTTAGAACAATTGTGCTTGATAGCGTACAAGAATTGAGAGAGATGGTACCGTAGTGTAATGGTTTCCGATCCCCTCTTTATGGGGTCTTCTCCCCTTTTATACATTCTGATTAAGGGTAAAAATAAGGTAGGTAAATTAATTACATCGTGGATCCCTGTAATTACGCCTTAATGGCCTGAAGTGGTTGAGAAAATCACGTTTGGGCGAGATATCCGGCGACGCTTGGTTATCCGTTAAGAGTCCGGCTTCCGACCTTGTGTGTTTCTCCATCCGGTGGTGACTCATATCGAGCTCTGCAACGGTCTCGAAATGACTCGACCTCGGTTGTTGACGTGGCCGTCGTTCTACCTTGCATCCAGGTCGGGTTCGATGGCCCCGACTTGCCCCGGACCGGACCCAACCCGGTCGGGCTCAAGCAAAAAAGGGTATCACCCAATACAGATAGTCCCATCGTTTATTAGAGAGTAATGATAATAAACGATATGATCGGTGACGTGATGCCCGTGACGTATGGCCATACGCCAGGTGAAAAAGCCATCGAGTGCTCTGACCACGCCTGCTGCAGGCATTTAATGCTTCTCTTAATTATCTGTCGCTTCGTGCCCGTAACTTCGCGATTCGTGCCGCCGCCTCATGGGAAAAGTATAAACGACCCTTCCAGGTTCAACATTTCTTATCTTTCTCAAATTTTGCGTTGGTTGTATTTTCTTTTCATCTCTTCGTAAAGCTTCAAGAAATGGCGAAAACTTCACAAAGTGTTCCTTCTAGACCAAGCTCGGCCGCGAGCCCCGCTAGATCTGATGAACCCGCACCAGAACCCCCATTGAAAGCTTTCACACCGACTGGTTGCTCGGTATCTGCCGACTTCCAGGTTGAAAACCCATCATCGGTCCCGGGCCGCGGCGAACCGGCATCGGAGTATATCAGTCTAATCACTCCCGGTTGCCTAGACCGGGTGAGGGCTGAATGTAGATGGGAAGGGAAAGACCTGGTCGCCCCTTCCCGTGACGAGTCGATTATGACTCACGTTGAAGGATATCTTAGTGTATATACATATCCCTTCACCTTAGGCCCCTTAGAACCCATTATAGTGGAGTTCTGCCGGCGGTACGAGGTGACCTTAGGTCAGATCCACCCCTCGATGTGGCGGATCGTATATCTCTTTCGGTTTTTTGTTGAGAGAGTCGAGGGCGATTTTCCCTTTACCCTCGACCATCTTCTTCGACTATACAGCCCCCGAATATTTCGAGGGGGATTAATAAAACTGGCCCGCCGGGCTAGCAAACCCCCATTCTCCAGCATCGATGAAGACAAAGATCGAGGCTGGATGAGCAGGTTTGTCCAGATCAGGACGTCCGACCTGATTCCGGCCGATTGCATGCCATTTCCGGAGAGGTGGAACCTCAAACGTAATTATTTTCTCACTGTTCATCTTTTAGAGTGTGTTTTCCTCAACTTCTTCCTGAAACCCCCTTTTCTTGTGCAGCGGTGACCCAAACTCCAGCTGCCGTCAAGGATCTGGCCGGCTGGGTAAACAAGATAGTGGCCCAGCGGCCATATTCGGAGCGAAACTGGAAGGAAATCTCCAAAGGTCGGTGGGAGGCGAAAAACCATGGTAAGCCTTCTTTTTGACCGGTAGCGCACCAAGTTAACGCATTTTTTCTTGTATATCGGGAATGCATCATAACCCTCGTGTTTTGCAGGCTTGCCCAAGGACGCGGAGATGAGGTCTTCAATACTATGCCCCCTTCCGGTTCCGGGAGAAAATAAAAGGCCCGGGGAGTCCGGTACGGACGAGCCTCAAAGGAAGACTAAGCGGACAAAAAGGGCCGCCCGCAAACCAAAAAGCCAAATCGTCTTGTCCTCCGAGGAGGAGGACGACAAAGAGGATGACGATGAGGAGCAGCCGGAGCTCGTCCGCCATCGATCCATTCGACCGGACCCTGAGCCGGTGGTCGATCCAGTTGAGGCTCCTCCCGAGGACGTGAGGGTTGAGGATGCTAGTGAACCCTCGGCCCCTGCGCGGGCATCCCCGGGTACCGATCACCCGGTTACGTCCCCCCCATCTTCCTCGACTTGGGGGCAGCTGCCGGACGACATCCCGATGATGGGAGGTAGCTTCGAGACCTTTTTTGATGGGGTACCCTCCGCCAACACTTTCGGGCTCGAAATCCTCCGGAAAGACCCTCAGGCCGAATCAAGTGGGACTTCGGCCGTCAACAAGCTTGTTGATAGGTTTCCAGCTCCGAGCCTGGACCCGGACTGTAACAGGATAGTAACTTTTGCTATCCCCAAAGACGTCCGGGCTCTGGGGCCCCCGGTCGGGGTTGCAAGCTATCTTCATCACCTGATGACGGAGGAAGACCGGGCTGCAACCGAGGCTGTAGATTGGACATGCCTTTTCAACGAAGCCCAGCAGGCGCAGCTCAAGGTATTTGCTTCTTCCTTTATTTCTAATATTTTTGCCTTGTGACCCATTACTGACTCTTTAGACTTTTCCTTTGCAGGCATCGGTGCTATATCACTCGATGTTCCTCC